TTCCTTGTTAAGGCAAATGCAGAAAAAGATAGAACTGGGTGATGACTGAAAATAGCTAACCCAGTGGAGAGTGATAAAAGCATCTGCTGAAAATCTGGTAACCAGATCTCCTGGGTACCAGGAAAAAAAAAAACCACACAAAAAAGCTGGTGGGTGGTGTACACGGTACAAAGAAAGGGAGTCCCTGAGTGTCAGCATCTGGCAAGGCCACGTGTAGCATAATCTGATTAGTTTTCAGTTCCACACCCACAAGCTGAAAGATAAAAACGCACACCCCTCCTCCCTGAGGAGGTAGAAATCTTCAAGCATCAACACCACATTTACATTCTGCAAGTCAGCCTCTTCCACAGCCCAATTTACATCTTGCCTCCTCCAGCAGAGTGGTGGAAGTTCAGTGATGAGAGACGAGCTCACGTCCCTTTCCAGTTACCACATCCAGCAGACTCGAGATTGCCTTGCTTTGATCTGGGAGACAGTCCTTTGCTTAGTTTAAACTGAAATGATTAAGCTGGAGATGAAGACTCCTCACATCTCCTGCCATGCCTGGGATGTGATAATTGAACATCAGCTTCCATGGGCCACACAAACTATGTTCTGAGGCTGTGCTGGGCTGGCGAGCAGAAGCAGCAGCACAGGACTGACTGGCTGGCTGCAGTTTTCACTGACCTTATAGCACTCTCAGTAATGATTCCTGGTTTGATTCATGTGAAATGGCCAAAATTGGCACTGGAGAGGATTAATGACAATGTTTCTGTCTCCAGAAACTTAATACTCAGGTTGGTGTTTGGCTTGAAACAGCTGAGTAGTGGTGAAGAATCAGAATATTTCTTGTTATTTTGGAGGAAACGCTGGATTTCGGATATCCAGTCTGTTTTGTACTGTGCCAACAGACAAATCAGAGCAGCTTGTTTAGCTCTTGACTATGAACTCTCAGTTTTTCTCATCTCCTTCCCATGTCCTCACCCGTGGCCTGATCTTTTCCAGTTGCCCCTGGGTCCCATCCTTAGTCAAAGACTCAGGGGTCAGCTTCCATTTATTTTTGACAACATTTCACTTTCAAGACTGCTGATGTCCACAAGCAATTTTTTTCCCTCCAAGCCCAATCCATTCTACAAATTCATCTTTGCAACAGAATAACAGGCACTGAAGGCAGTGTTGCAGGCATTGGTGTAACACTATTTTATTCTACTCTTCACATAGCTTTTGTATTGCTTTTTAATGTACTCACTGCTGCAGCAGATCATGGATTCTCCCTCAGCTATCCACACTTGCTACCCTAATCTTTTTTCCTGAAATAAAATTACGCCTCAGTACTGAGACTGAGGAATACAGCTTTTCTTAGCACACTCCCCTGGGATCAGGAATTTCTCTGTCAACGGACACATATATCAATGAGAGATGAAAAGCAGCTTGTGGAATGAGTTTTAAACATGTATCACATATTTCATTGCTGCTGCTTATGTGCTACTCAGAAGGTCTTTTTAGAGTGTTTTCATCCCATACCTCATGGCTCCTCCATACTTAACAGGATTTCTTTTTTCCTGCACAGAAATCAAGGCAAGACATTTATTTAAGTTGCCCACACGCCTTTGTGAGCACCTCCTGAACACAAAAGTTTTGTTGGGTTTCCTGCTTATTTTCAGTGTGAGCACGTCTCAGCCTTTATCAAAGCAGAGTAACCCACAACGTGCAAAGCTGCAATGTCATCTTGTCTCCCTGGGATATTTCACTCGGGGACTGTGGCTCCTTCTGTGGATCCCTTTGTCACAACATGACTCCATGTTACAACCCTAAATTTTAAATGTCCAGAAGGGGAAGGCAAGTCTGCCTTTGGCCCCTTGCTGGTTTCTGGGGACTTGCAGTTCCATTGATGCCTGGGGTCTTCCAGATGTGCATAGAGCTCTCTCTTCCCCACTTTTCTTTTTTTTTTCTTTCCTTTAGGCGGGTGGGGGGAAGTGGCAACACCCAAACCCACACATCTATAGATCATTTCAATTCAACCAGATGTGGAAATCTTTTTTCTTCTTTCTGTACACCCCTTCTTTTTTTCCTCTCTCTTTTCCTTTTTTTCCCCCTGCCTATCCTAAAGTGCTCTGTTATCCAGAGGTCTGCTATAATACACATAATAAAGTATAAACTCTTTCCTAACAAAGCTATGTATGACCAAAGAAAATGTGATGAATACAAATGTTAGGGTTATCTGGCACAGGTTTGTGCAGGAGTGGTGGTGACCTGTGTAATAAGTTATTTATTGAGTTATTTGAGGACAGTTAAAATAGATTATGCACCAGTTTGTTTGTGGTTCTTTAGTTAAAAGGTCACTACATGAACATAGCACAGTTTTTTTCCTACAGAAATTCTAAATAAAATTCACTTTGGGAGTGAATTCATTCCCAGCTAAAATCATCTCTGGTGTGTGAGGCTGGAGATGTGCTGATCACATTTGTCTTATTTTGAGACCTCTTGAATTTCACAGAATCCCAGAATGGTTTAGGTTGAAAGGGGACTTAAAGATCACCTCATTCCAACTCCTGCTATGGGCAGGGACACCTTCCACTATACCAGGTTGATCAATTTGTCAAAGATAATCAGGAATGAGCAGAAGAGAAAAATGGAAGGAAAGGAGATGTTTTGGACTTCCATAGGATCGTTCTTAGGATCTGCCTAATCTTAGGGTTAGGCGGAAGTATTTTAAAAAACAGAGTGGAAAATATGACTGGCAAAGGGAAGAACAAATACTTAAAAATTGTGGAGGAAAAGAAGAGGGAGAAATCCCAAGAGAGTACTGACTGCATGTGTATGTGAAAGTAATTTCTTCAGATTTTGCAGCACCCAAATTGTACAAACCTTAGTTTAAATGGATTGAGAACATAATGCTGAAGACTAGAGCCTGTTAATTAAGCTGCTATTATGGAGTTTTTACAAGCCTCCCAAAAATCATTCCCTATTTAAAGTGATTGATACTTTCTGAAGAGAGCAGTAGGCACCCATGGCAGCTCTAAGATGGAGCAGCACTTTCTCCCTGAGGAGAAGGCTCCCGCCTACCCCGTGCTTTTAGCCTGAGTCATTACGGGGGAGAAAACCCAGACTTCAAAGTACCAAATTATGGGTCAACTAATTAATTTTTTTAAATTGCTGGAGAAGTTTCTTGAGAGTTAAATCCCATCAAGTTTCCCCTCATCTCCCAACCTGAATCCTTCTCTGTCTAGAGAGCTATGATTCCTCTGAATCCAGTTTGGATTTATTTAGTTTGGATATTGCATTGCCTGTGTGTCATGTTGGCACTGTGGTACCAATTAGATGGTGTGAACCCATGTACCCAGTACTGTGGAGAAAATACTATTAAAAGGCATGTTTTTTAGCAGTGGTAGCCTGATAGTTCAATCTCAAGATTCAGTGGCCTAATTTCTGCTTCCTAAAGAAATTAAACAGAATTGGAATTGGTTCTATAGCCCAAAGACTGATGGGACAATCTTCTCATGTCTGCAGAGCTGAACTCTTGTAAACTCCAGACGGATGGCTGTATTCATACTGCTCTGGGACAACACAGATTATCTCAAGCCTCTGGTGATTATTGGAAGGGTTGAAACCCAAACCCTACCAGTGGCCCTTCCTATTGTTAAAAGCATTAAAATATTCCCCCCAGTTATTGCTTGTGCCAGTGCCCCAGCACTGCTTATAGGGATGGAGGCAGATGTGGTTCTGGGTTGAAATCAGGGGTCTGGGCCCCCCTTTCAGCTCTGCCAGAGGCTTTTTGTGTGACCTTGATCTGTAACTTAGGGTAAGCTTCATTCCATTTAACGTTGACTAATGGCAAGGGTGTCTAATTAAACCAGTCATGTGTGCTCCCTCTCTGATCAGAGAAGGAAGAGAAAGCAAATTCAGGAGGTGAATCATGCCGTTTTAAGGCGAGTGTCAGAGACAAATGAGATGAATTGCCCTCTGGAAGTAGCTATTTCTTTCCATTAACCGAAGAGGAAGTCTACATTAGAAGAGTTTAGACTAGATGCCTGATTTATGAATGGCTGAAGTTAAGTAAAATTAGTCCTGTCCTTAATCTCTGTGCATGCCTGTTTCTCTGTATGCTGAATGATAGAAATAACACCTTCTGCACCTTGCATTTGAAGGCACCATTGGACAAGGAGCATTCTTTGGGAAGAAATTAAACCTAGGAGCAAAAGTACCACCATTAGAGAAGCAAAGCCCTTGCTCTTGAAACATCTCAATAACAACATAAGCAGGACCACTGTGGGCATCCCAGTGCTTTTTCCATTTTCCCCCTTCGTATTTTGACAACAAAACATCCCTAAATGAGTGTTCCAAATATATCCAGGGGCAGTTAGCCTGTTTTGGGTGAGTGCAGTAGGAGCACTGAGGAAGGCTGACCATGCAAGGGTGTTCCTGGCCAGCAGCCTTGGAGGTTTTCCTTGGACACTGATCTTCTCAACTGACAGGGACTAATTACTTTTTGGAAAATCTCCCAGAGGAATGAAAGCTAATGAATAACTATAACAGAGTTAAAGAAAAAAAAAAAATAAGGGGAGAAGAAAAGCTTACATTTTCTTAGCAAAAACCCACAATATAAATCAGACATGGAGTAATTGTCCCAGTTGATAAGTTGTATGTACATATGAGACTTGCTTTTGAAAGGGAAGTTTACCTCTCCAACTACCTTGGGTAGTTAAAGCAGAAAAAAAAAAAAAAAAAAGACAAAAAAGACCTTGTGTGGGTGTCCTGATAAGTACTTATTTTGATCCAAATTGTAGATGTTACACATGTATGGGCACAGCTGTGCTCGATAAGGCTTTCACCAGCACAACCAAGTCGAAAACACAACCCCCTCACAATGTTTCTGTGTTATTGGGGGTAGCTGAGATACCTGTAAATCCATTAAATCTAATAACAGGTCCTTAGAGACCACTTTGGGGCTTTTTTTGGGGGTGTGTTAAATTACTAAATCTTGTTATTAACGCTTTTATTTTATGATTTGCTGTTTCCAGGGCACAGACAGAAGCTTGATGACTCTAAACCTAGTTTGTTCTCTGAACGCCTCAGTGATTTAGGGCGCATTCCTCATCCCAGTATGAGAGTAGGGGTCCCGACCCAGAGCCCACGGCCCTCTCTGAACTCTGCACCAAGTCCTTTTAATCCACAAGGACAGAGTCAGATTACAGGTAAGAGACAGAACCATAGGTTTGACTTGCACAGGCATTGGTAGTAATTGCTTATGGATATTTGTGTCTCAGCTGTAGTCAGAGGCTGTTACAGAGTGGGGGATGTTCTCCAAGCAAAGCTAGGTGGGGAGTGGATTTTTCTATAGTGCTTGAAGCTGAAAATGTAATTTTTTTCTTTTTCTTTATTTTATTTTTTTAATATATTTTTGCCATAAATCTAAAATAGGCAATCCAGGTCATTTGAGCAGGGATCTGGTGAAATTCTGACTGCCACGTTGTTCTGCCTTCTCCATGTTGCAATAGTACCTTTAGTGTACGTCAAAATGAACATTTTTATTCAGCCTTGCTATTTTGCACTCATGTTAAGGGAAGCAGCCAGCACTTAATGGTCTTTTTATCAGAATAATAATACAATCTTCTCACATGGTGGTTTCCTTCCACCACCAGTGCTGACCATGGTTACAATAAACGAACTGGGTTATGGAGAAATCTCCAAAGGTTGCTCGTGAGGATTGTATGCAACATTTATGATTGCATGCTGAGAGACAGATTTCATTGTGCTGAGAGACATCATAAAGCACCCACCATGTGTCACAGATTAGAAGGCTGAAATAAGATGTTTAACTGCAGCTAAGCCAGAAGTTTGCAGCAAAACTGTGAAACCTACAAAATAAACCAACGTTGTTTTTCTAAAGTCAGAGCTGGTTAAATTTTTCAAAAGAGTTTCAAAACAACTTCTATCTAACTTTGGGCATTTCTAGATTCTAAATTTGTGCTGACATGTTTGTGTCTATCCAGGATGTAAAGAGGTGGTACCCCTGACCAATTGTTAGAGTTGTTGGGGAGCTTCACCTACATGCAAGTCTGTCAACAAAGCTCTTGGCTCAATTCCCTAGACCGATTTAATGCTCCCTTCTGCTGCTACAGTTCCATCCACAGCAGAGTCCTTTGCCAGCATTGTACACCAGCATTCCTCTCCTGGTAAAGCACTCCTAGTATAGACACAGTCTTTGAGTCAACCTAGGAAGATTTCTAGTTTCATGTTTCAAGTGGTTTTGACATGATACCAGCTGAAACTCAGCGGTTTTAACAAAGTGTTGTGGCTTTCTTCTTCTTTCTTTTCCTTCTTTTTTTAAGTTCAACCGGTTTATTAATTTGCAGTAAGAAAGAGAAGTAAGCGAGTTAATTTGAACCCAAAGCGCTCAAGGAATTGCAACAAAAAAATTGTTCCCATGAGCTGTGGCAAAATTCTCCCAGATCTAGAAGTCTAACTTTAACTAGTGGAAAATATTTATAAGATATTAAATATGTTGATTGTACCCATTACATGGTACCTGCTGCCCCCCAGCTTCCCAGAGCAGGTTTTTTTGGCTAGGCTTCGTGTTTTGTTCATTGGACATATGAAGTCAGGGCTCTTGTGCATATCATTTTCTGGGTAAGAACTGCTGAACTAAAACACAATATTTTTTTCTAACCAAGTCTTTGTCTGGCAGTGTTTGTAGACATAATTCCCAAGAAAGGAGGGGGAAAATCCAGGCTATAAGCAGTTTCTTTCCTTCTTCCTTGTACCTCCATAGTTTACCTACTGTGCAACACTATATCTAGGAGCGAAAGAGGGTGAAATTCTTCCTGACCCCATCTGGTGATCAGCTTATGCCCTGAAGCACAAGAACTGAGATCCCCTTGTAATTTTCTTCCTAACTAAGTGTAACCTCATATGCTGCTCTCCTTCACATAAATGCCTCCTGTAGAAAATGTTCTGCTGGCTTTGATTAATAGACTACTTCTCTGCCTCATTATGAGGCAGCAGCAGCATTTACAGATCTGGGAGATGAAAACTTCAGATGAGCTTTCAATAAGCCTGACTGGAAACAAAGCTGTGTGGCATTCCCTGCCTTCTCTGCAAATTTAAGGCAGCAGCTCAGAGCACCAGCTGAGATTTCATTGAGAGAAGGAAGGTGTGGTGCAGGGCAGAGGGAAGTGAGCTGAGCTGAGCTGAGGGATGCTGGCTGGATTTCCCATCTCTTGTGGATTATGTGCTTTTATTGTTGGATAAATTCAAGGTTATGGAATACATTAGAATGCCAAATTGCTCTCATTTCCCCCAAAATGTTGAGGAGTCTGTAGTGAATAAGTGGTGTGATACAGTATTTCTGATGTTGTTTCCCACCCTTGCTCTCCCCATCAGTTTAGCAAAGTCCAACAGCCAGCTTTCCATTTGCTCTCTGGTGGCCATTCCATTTAATTAGGTGATTGATGTATGTTACATGGGTGCAGACTCTGAGATTTGCATTGGCTTTCCACCAGGCTTTTGGGTGCTCTTTGGGACCTTGATTGTAATCTGTAAAGCTCAGCATGCTCTGATGTTCCACCGAAATGCTGGGATGCTTTTTTTGCAGGCAATCCCTGTTCTGGGATCATTCTTGTGGGATGAGTGGGTACTCTTTGCTACACAAGCCACCTCAAGGAGAGATGCAGGTGATGCCATGGACCAGGCACCCTTTGATCAGGTGTTGAGTGGGAATTTGCTGAACATCCCCCTGCTCAGTGTGGTGGTAGGGAGTGAGGTGTTTGGGCTGTCCTTCTACACCAGGTTCCTTGTTGTAGTGGAATAGTCAGGATGCCACTGGCTGCTTAACTTAAGCACTGCCTTGGGTATAAAGGGGAATAGACCCTTCTGTCTGAAAAACAGGATTTTTAAATTGCCTTAATTGGAATTAACCAAGCATTCCTTTAGAAATACCATGGTTTCATTATCTCTTTACCTAGTTATTATTTAGGGAAAATAATAAATTTCTAATAACTGGAACAGTAAATATGGTTTCCTACAGAAAATCCATATTATTGCTGGTAAGCACATAAATGTTTTGCTTCATTCCACTTGAGGTCTTGCATAACTATTGCATGATTAAATGGACATATTATTTAAAGCCTGGCTGACCCACACCTGAGTCTGAAAGAACTCAGCACTTTAGGGTTCACTCTTATATTTCTTTTCTCTGTCTAGGTTGTGTTTATTTTCCTGGAGTATAAGAGTACAGGTTGTACAAATCACAGCACAGTCCTTAACCTACCACAGGACTGGACTGTGGCAGGACAAGGCACAGAGTTGCCCTTATTCAACATGGCATTTTAACTAGGGTTCAGCAAAAGCTACATCGAAGGGTGATTAAAAAACAAATGGTCCAATAAGTAGCTGCCTTTGCTGAGGCAGTGCAGATCCAATTTGAACCCTGCTTGCTGCCCGTAAATCAGGAATCCTGTCCATTCACATTTGGTCACTGGTATATTTGCTTTTTTATTTTTTCCCCTTTCCCTAACGGGCTCATGCAACTTGTTCATGTATCCGATTACATTCCCATTCAGACACTGAGCTGTTGCATCAGTGTTCCAGTATGAGACGAGGAAAACTTGGTTTTTTTAAGATGCAACTGGTAAGGATTAGCTTCTGTAGGCCAGGAAAAGCCACAGGTGTAATGGCAGGAATGTGGTGGGTGTGAGGACCCCTCGGCTGGGCTGTGGGGACAGCAAAGTGGGAGTTAAGTGAGGTTTCATGCTCCATCACCACTGTGGCACTGGCTGATCTATAGGCAACCTGTGACTTTCATCACTGAAATAACAGCCCTCAAAGGCAAGTCTTGTGAAACCTTGATTTTTTCCCCTTTCCTCTTCCCCTTCTCCATGCACTTCAGGGATGTTATGCTTCCATTTCTCATCATTTTTTAAGCAGATTTAAAGTCTTCAGAGTTGACTTAACAGGAAGGTAGTGAGGGGATACATCTTCACTGTCAGACAGGGACTGATTTCAGGAACAGTGCAAACTGAATCTGCAGCCTGCTGTATTTTATACAACTTGATTGCATCCTCTGGTTGGCTGGCAAGTTGCCATTGTGAACCTCCATTTCAAAACTTGCACCCCTCTTATTATTCTTTTAACTTTATTTCCCTCTAACCCCCTTTTAAAACTTAGCTGCCCACTGGCATGATTTGTTGAGTTTATTTTATTTTTCATTTCAAAAATGTGACTCTTGGAGAGGTGGGAAGAGAAGTGGTTTTTAGAGGTTTTTAGAAGTTTTAGAGGTTCTTCAGGCCGAAGTCTGGTCTCAATTACTTCTCTGTACGTTGGGGTGTAACTCTGCTGGATTTAACTTTGTTGATTGAATTGGTCAACTCAGATGAAGCCCTGGGCTTTTAAAGATGCCTAAGAAAGAGTTAGAGAAGAGAAGAAGGTTGTGTTTTGCTGTTGTTGTTTTGCTGAGGGGGTTGGTGTTACAACAATAGTTGGGTTACTCATGCAGAAAGTCATCTTGGCTTTGTTAAGATCAGAAGTGAGGATATTTGCTCTAAATGTTTACCAAAGATAGCTCCAGACAGCTTGTTTTTTACTATTGGCAGAAGCACTAATCCAACCAGCAGCAGCCAGAGCTAGAGCTGATGGCTGGGTTTAAATGAGAGTGTGATGCATGTTATGTCTGGGTATTATAGACAGTTCACCAAGGAGCTGCCAGCCTGTGATCGTGCTCTGATCATGTAATTCAGCTTGGAAAAGGGGGAATTGTTTTTTTCCTATAGAAAATCAGTGTGCTTCATAATCCAATGCCAAAGTAGTGGAAAAACTTGTTCTTCAGGGATATTTGCAGGTTTTTTCTTCTCTCCATTGACACTTCAGAACATGGAAGGTGTCCCTCTCCATTGCAGGGGGGTTGGAACTAGATGATCTTTAGGGTTCCTTCCAACCCAAACTGTTGTATGATCCTGTGATGATTTCTGTTGGAATAAAAGAAGTTGTGATACTGGAAAGCCAATGTCACTGGTGGAAGAATGGGTCACTAGATGGGCTTTTTTCATTCTTTCCTTTATAATTTTAGTTTTATGTGGTGCATCTAGTATTGGACTAATTTTTAACGACTCCTATTGTCCATTAAGCATCAATATCCACCGTCCATTTAATGCAGTCAGAGACAACAAAGGTCAAGAACCCTGCATATGTCCCATGACTATAAATGTGACAGCAAAACCTAAACACAAAACAATATGCAATACTCAGTATTTCCTGCTTTGTGGAGGTTCACCTGGAAGTGCAAACAGGATGGAGCTGTTTGCACATTAGTTTAGGCCTCACCTCACTGATTTGTTTCAGCTGAGCTGTGCCCAGGCTGTCTCAGCATACCCACAATGTGCCCTGCTGGGAAGGAATACGCTGAGAGCCACACTTCCCCTCACACCCACGCAGGCGTAACAGAAATGTTTACAAAAGGAGGACTGCTCTTAGTAATCACTCCAAAGTTTTTGAGTGTAAATGCCAGTTCAGAGTGGCCCTCTGACTCTTTCACTGTTGTTGAATGCTCTGTTAGCCCTTCCCCATGGCTGCCATATGGGAATGTGGGTTGCTTTCTCCTGGGCAGGTAATTTTATTTTTATATTAATATTTTTCCTTGTTTTAGAGGGATTCCTTTAGGGAGGAATCCACATGCAGTCTGCCTCAGAGCTTCAAGGTTTCTCATCTGCTCTGGGCTTTTTGTGATGGGAAGATGTGCTGTGCCTGCGGAGCACGTGGTGCTTTGGGTGATGGTGCATAGTCCCTGGCTAGCAGGGAACCTGCAGACACATGGGAGCCCACCAGCCAGAGACAGTAGGGAAGCTGGCCCGTGGTGTAGGAGGCCAAGGAAAACCTCTCACAAATGACTTCATAGCTTCTTCCCCAATAGTATGTGTTAAATAATTATCCCATCCCTTCTGGGTCAGAGCAGAGAGGAGGTGACCTTAAGGACCTCGTGTTTGCCTCAGAGGCATCTGTGTGGATCTGCCCTGGAAGGGCTGGTGTGGCAGCTGGCACATCCCTGTGGTGCCCCCAGCACCCTCCCCCAGGAGGTTTGATGGTGTGTGGGACCAGAAGAGATGGTCTGGTGAGCCTCAGTGGCCAAAGTCACTGCTCCAGCACCATTGCAAGGACCATCTCCATGTGAACCAGAGGGTGCCACATGAGCTGTGTGTCCACCTCCAGGAGCTCTCTGGGGCAGCTCTGGGCTCTGCCTCGTGGCATTTTTCGCTGGGAATTGGGCAATGCTGCTGAGCAGTGACGTTTGCCCTGTGGGCTCATAGGTCACCTTTGACTTGTCAAGGCAGCAGTGTTTCACCACTCTCTTCTCTCAGGTCCATGCAAACCTTGGCCACCATCAGGCAGTGAGGGTTGGCTTTAGGGCATTTGCTCTGGGATCTGGTGAGACGTGTATTTTCACTTTCTGGTTTCCTAACGGGTCACAGATAGCTTGAGCCAGTCAGCCCCAGGGCAGTATGTCCCACCCTGCCTCGACCATGACCTCAGCCATGCCTTGGTGTGGAGGAATCACAGTAACCCTCTGGCCTGAAGTACTGTGACCTCCTCCAACACTGAGCTCTGATGAATCATCTAATGTTCAGTTTGGTTGAAGATTTTCTTCTTCATTATTTCCTATTCCCTGGGAAGACTGATGTATTCGAGGTATATGTTGAAAGAATATGTTTTGGGGTCAAGTGCTGGTCCATCCAGTCCCACATCCTGCTTCTGACAGTGCAGTATGAGACACAGTTTTGAAATACCACGTGAGCCTTCAAAAGACCACTTTTTGCTATTCATCATTCTTATGTTCACACAGACATTCACAGTTGCCGGATTAATGGTCTTAAGTGTAAAACCAAGTCTAGCATGGGTGTTCAAAGTGATGAGAGTGCCAGAGATGCTCAAGAAGTTCTTGTAGAATGAGGATCACACTACCAGGACTGCCATGACCCTCCAGAAAGGCACCTTTTTTTCTGAGCTTTCCACCATCTTAAACCAAAATGATGTAAAAACATCCTCTACTATGATTTTTTTTCCCAGCCTTTACCTGCTATGTTATTTCCTCCTAGCACTGGAGCTGATCTAAACCCAAAACTTTAGGGGCCCTGTTTTCAATTCAGAAGCAGAGATTGAAAAGGTCTTGGAGTTTGAAGGATCTTGGATTTGAGACTGTGCACCTAACACACCATTAATTTTAAGATTGTTTTTCCAGCAAGCCTAAGCTTTCTGTTCCCACTTGAAGATCATTTACCATTGACTGTATGGTGAATTATCGTAGTGGAATGAGGCAGAGAAATATGTCAATATCAGATGTAACAATGAGCAGTCAGTCAGATTTGAACCTGTGCCAATCTATACAACCCTGGCCTTGAAATTGTTAAAACAAAGAAGTTCATTACATTTAATGATCAAGTGTCCTTCAGATTTCTGAGAAGTTTATGTTAACCATTTATATTACTCAGCTCTAATATAAATGGCAAACTCCAGGAAAATCCTCTTAAAATTAAATTGGAAGGTTGTTTTTTTTATATATATATCTATATAGTTATTTTACTTCAAGGAAGTATCTGCTTTCCAGACATTTCTTCAAACAAATCACGTCTGAAGAGAAATAATAAACAAGAAGTAGCTGAAACTACAAGGTTTTGCTGTGTGGAAGAGCAGGGAAAGGAGTTAAAAAAAAAAAAAAAGTTGAATTTCCTGAAAAAGAGCCTTTGCTTATGCCATGTGGCTGTCACATTGCTGTCTGCAAAGCAGGACTTTTGCACAGTGTTCTGATAGAGCAGGTTCTCCAAATTAAATAGACTTGATGTGCTTCCCTGAAAATACTGGACAGGATTTGAAGGGATGTGCTACAATTTCTGTGAGCTGGTTCAGAGACAGTTTTCTGTTTGTTGTGCAGTGCCCCAAACAAACTTTGGGGTTGTAAGTGCTTTGTTTTTGTAGATGTAAGGAAATAAAAATCATAATTTATGAGGTATTCAGTGGTATCTTTATCACCAGATATTAACTGAGAGCAAATGGTTTATAAATCCAAACATCAGTGTGTAAAACTAGGTCTCTTTCTACCAGTGCTTCAGGAAAAATTGAACTGTGTTTATCCTAAAAATCATTTCCTCTATAGTGAGCTGTTGCAAATACATCGAAAGGTATCATTAGCTTCCAATAGTTATCCCAAACCATTTGGTTTCCTATTTTGTAATTGAGGGTACTGTAAGTAATTGGGCCAGCATCCAAATGTGACATTTTTTTGATGGATGCTGATAAGATTAATGACATTTTTCTCCTTGGCTAGTATTTTCAGCACTGAAAACACTATTGTGTGATGTTTGAACTGGATAACAGCTTAACAAGCAAGCCAAGTGCTGACTGTAGAGTCTACCCACCTCTGAAGAAAATGGCCTTGGGTTGTGCCAGGGGAGATTTAGATTGGATCTTATGAAAATTTTCTTCACTGATAGGTTGCTCAGGCTTTGGAACAGGCTGCCCAGGGAGGTGGTGGAGTCACCATCCCTGGAAGTGTTTAAAGAGCTTGTAGCTGTGACACTTAGGGAAAAGGTTTAGCAGTGGACCTGGCAGTGCTGGGCTCAGTGGTCTTAGAGGTCTCTTCCAACTGTAATGATTCTATGATTCCATGATTCCATGAAGTCCACTTCCTAAGATCAGACCTGGGGCTCATCCTTGCCTGCTTCTCTTTCTGATTCCTTGAGGACTGGCAACTCTTAGTATAACATGTTGGAAGAGAGACACCAGGAATTTGCATCACAGCTTCTAGATATTTTGAAACTCTGCTCTCTGGTCTGTTCATTTCCCACAGAAATTGTTGTGGGGAGGAAAAAGCACAGATCAAGACCTGAAAGGGCTGAGAGTTGAGGACCAAGTTGTGTTTCATTGCATTCTAACTCCTAGTGGTATACTGATGTGTGTATGTTCAGTAATCCCACTTCTTTCAATTAGGCTGTTGATACCCTAAAACTTTTCTTCCTTTTAAAAAAAAAATTCCCCTTTTTTTTTGTTTGTTTTTATTTTCCCCCTAGACCCCAGGCAGGCGCAGTCATCCCCGCCATGGTCCTATGACCAGTCTTACCCATCCTACTTGAGCCAGATGACTTCACCGTCCATTCACTCCACAACTCCCCTGTCCTCCACTCGGGGCACGGGACTTCCAGCCATTACCGATGTGCCCAGACGCCTCTCAGGTAAAGAATCTGTTTTGCCTAAAACAATTATGCAGAGAGGAACAGGACTGGCAGTGGCTGCCTCCGTGGCCTCAGACAAACCTTGGCAAGGAGAGCAAACCTCAGCACTGCTACCAGGGTTCCTGCATGGCAGGCAGGATTCAAAATCCCTTTTTTTTTCCAATGTGGAAGAGCTGCAATGTTGCTCGGAGCATGTCCCTCTCAAATAACTTTAGAATCATTTCAGATCAGATTAATTTTAAATTGTGAATCTGATTCTTTGAACAAATTATCTTTTCTTTTTCTTTTTTTTTCTTTTTTTTTTTTTTAATTTTATTTCCCCTACAAAGGGATGTTTGCTTGCATGCAATTAGGTACTGGCACAGGTTGCTCAGAAAAGCTGTGGTTTAAGGCCAGGTTGAATGGGGCTTGGAGCAACTTGGTCTAGTAGAAGGTGTCCCTGCACATAGCAGGGGGGTTGGAACAAGATGATCTTAAGGTCCTTCCAACCCAAACCATTCTGTGATTCTGTGTTTCAAAGTAAATATTATGCTCTCTATTTTTTGGTGCTTTACCTTTGTGGTGTGTGTGTTACTAGGCATCCTGACAGATAGATGCCTTTATTCCTTCAGTAGTTAAGGCTGAGGTTAATTCTCCTGCATTTCAATCCAGTAGCTCCAGAAAGACTGTTTCCTTAGTTAATATGTACTTAAGAGGCCTATCAGAAACAAGCTGAGTCACTTAAAGGTAAAGATTGGACAAATTGTGCTTTGGAATGATGCAGGAGAGAGGAAATACATTTAGGAACATAGACAAGACAGTAGCGAGGAACTGAGACTTTTTTTACCAAACAAATGCACATTTATGTATTGTGCAATTCACCTCTAATGGTCTCAGTGATAAAACCATCTGTGTAAGTAATCTGATTGCCCCAAAGTAAGAGAGAGCCTGTCATGGCACACAGTCACCTTGTACCTCTTGCCAAAAATGAGGAACCTTAGGGGAGGGAGGCTCAGTCTTAAAACTCCAACCTTGCAAGTGTGGAAATATTAGCAGTGTATGCCAAAAAAGCATGTGTAATGTAAAGAGAGCCTTTATGATTCATTAATGAAAACCAAAGAATCAGTCTTATTACATCTATTTTTGCATGTTTGCAAGATATTATTATAATCTTGGATGCTGCTGCCATACACCTGTTTGATTCCCAGCCAGGTGAATTTCTTGCTGTTGTGTTTTCCCCTTCCACCAAGCTCATAGCACTGTAAATGTTGATCACTGCACTGAGCTGCATCCCTGACGAGCTGAACTGCAGCCAGCAGGCGTGGAGGATTTGATTAGCGTAGACTCCTTGATTTCTTTCATCTTGGAGGAGGGAAGCTTTGTTTCTCAAACAAACAGCTGCAAACCCCTCTGCAGCCCTAGTGCACTCTGCCTTCACAGAGATGCCGAAGATCTCCATGTGGGCTGAGGGCTGGAGGGTTTTGGAGCAGGTTCCTGCGGGCTCTCCATGCAACGCCCTGACTCGGGTCAAAAAACTCGATCGGCTTGATGCTGAGGAAATGCTTTGTTTGGCCTGAAACAGGTTCCCTTTGAGTCAGAGCCTCCTGATGGTCTGTGCTGTCGAATGGGTTATTTTTGCAATCATGCCCGTGGCAATACCTGCAGGAGAGGCTCGGCTGGGACCTGGCAGCTGCACGCCGCATGCTTGCCCTGCAGCCCTTGCTTGTCTGTGTGCATTCAGACGTGAGTGCCTGGCATGTGGGCACAGGCAGAGAGTGACTAAAAGACCTGACTGTGTACGTTGTGTGGCCCTGGACTGAACTTTCCTGCCGTGCTCTATGGCCAGTTGCCTTCGCGCTTCTTGTCCTTCATCTTCCCAGGGCTCGAGCGATGCCTCTGCAGTGCCCTGACCTTTTCCCAGCGTGGGGATCTTGTTTCCAGTTAGATTCAAGAGTGAAAAAGGGGACTCTGATCTTCCACAGGTTGTGTGCAGTGTTTGCTGACAGAAATAGAAATTCAGAATAGAAATGCTCTACTCAGAGCTAGAGAGAGGCATTCCTGGCTGAAGGACCCACTCGGATGCTCAGGATGCAAAGAGCCACATTGCAGAGTCAGATGCAAACCTGACAGTGCCTCTTAAGGGTTTCACTGGCAGAGCGACAGCGAGGGAGAGCAGCATTCAACCCGTCCTATATCTAAAGAGAGAGAGAAATGCAAGTTTTAAATTGCCCTGTACAGCAAGCAGTTTATCCCTCACACTCAAAGAAATGCAAATCTCCACTCAGTTACTTAATGCATATTTAGGAAGAGAACAGAACTTTGAAAAGGGTAGAAAATTACTGCAAAGAAACACTAAAATCCTTAGAATACTTCAGGCATCTTTAAAGCATGAGGGAGAAATTAGAGTTTTATAAGGCCTTGAATAAAAAAGTCACTTTCCGATACAGTGGCAGAAATCTGATTATCGAGGCTGTTAAAAGTATACAAGGTCATTTTAATGAATGCCATATTTACTGCCTGTTGCTTAACATCATGCAGGAGGAAAAATGAATAAAACCTCCCCCTTAGGCCTTGGCTGTCACACCTACAGGCACAGAACTTCCTATCTGCCCTAATTTCACATCACCCAGCCTTTCCATGAGCCTACATGGCATTACCTGGACAACTGCTAAAGTTGTTCTCAGCCAGATGTTGAAAAAATTCCATCCAGTAAGGCAGGAGTGGCTCTTGGTTTTAGTGTCAGTGGCAGCCCTCAAGACCTACTTTTAATCATTTTCCTTTGACCAAAAACGCACTCATCCTATTTGCAAAGTGATGGTGTTCCTCCCCATCTTGGGATGGATATATGAGCCGGCAGTGTGCCCAGGTGGCCAAGAAGGCCAAAGGCACCTGGCCTGTACCAGCCATGGTGTGGCAGCAGGACCAGGACAGTGACCATCCCCTTGTGCTGGGCACTGGTGAGGCCACACCTTGAATCGTCTGCTCAGTTTTGGGACCCTCATAACAAGGAAGACATGGAGGGGCTGGAGCATGTCCAGAGAAGGGAACAGAGCTGGGGAAGGGTCAGGAGCACAAGGATGATGAGGAGCAGGTGAGGAAGCTGGGGGGGCTGGAGAAAAGGAGGCTCAGGGGGGGACCTTGTGGCTCTGCACAACTCCCTGACAGGAGGGGACAGCCAGGGGGGAGTAGGGCTCTGCTCCCAGGGAACAAGTGACAGGATGAGAGGAAATGGCCTCAAGCTGCACCAGAGGAGGTTTAGATTGGATATTAGGGAAAAATTCTCCACTGAAATGGTCAGGCATTGGAACAGACTTCCCAAAGCAGTGGTGGAGTCACTATCCCTGGTAGAGTTCAAAAGGCACATGGATGTGGCCCTTAGGGACACAGTTTAATGTCGAGCATGGTGCTGCTGAGTTGGATCTGATGGTGTTTTCCAGCCTTAATGATTCCATGATTCTTGGTGATGACCTTGCCTGTGTTTGAACCCCAGATTAGGCTGAGCATCAGAAGAGGTTTGGGGCTGCAGGACAGGACGTGGCAGGGCACTGCCATAGCAGTACATGCAGTTCCTCAGCCCATGGGAGAGGAGAAAAGGGCAGCAGGCTGCAACCCCGAGGAGTTCCTCAGGCAGCTGCTGCAATGCAGCTGAACTGGTCGTGTCAGTGTCTGGGATGAGTTTTTGCACTAGTGGCAGGTTTGTATGCGTGCTGCAGGCACGTGCACGTGTGTGCCCATGGCAGCCAGACTGTGTTCATCTTCTCCAAATGGGGTTAGTGCTCTGTTTGCACTGCTCTACAACTAATCAATGGTATATCCCAGGTATTTGGGCAGTACTCAACAGCATGAGCTGAAAAGCAAAGTAAAAAAAGATTATCTGGCATCACTCATGCAACTTTTGAACCAATGATCTTTCTGGTCCAGAATTTTCGCATTCATATCAAGAACAAATAAAGAAACAAGTTCATGAGGCCATGAAATTGCCTTACATTCATGTTCCAATCATAAAAAGAGCAGGATTCCCCATATTTTATTAAAACGTCTGTCTATTCAGACTTCCCCAGAAGACAGTGAAAGTTGGTGGCCCAGCAGATTAATATTCTTAATTAAATAATATTGTAGTGGAAGCCATGGGAATATAAGAAAAGGGTCATTTTAGAGAGAGTTTGCCTGAGGGATGTAGTCTTATTGCATGATTCATAGTGAATGCACTCAGTCTTTGTGTCCTATGCATAACCAAAGTGCATGTGGGATTGGGAGCATGGGTGACTATTATGTAATTAATGTATATGATTCATATAAATATACACATCACAGCCGTTTTACATAACACTTTGGGGCTGATCCAGCAAGCCCTCCCCACATGGAAGGTTCAGAGCAGGGAGTACAGGTCGGGTTGTTCTTGCAGTCACAAGAGGACTGGTCCCAGGCAGGTGAAGGAGGGGTGGGTATAGATGTCCCCAGGGCAGACATCCATTCCTAAGACACTCACCCTCAACTCCCTTTTGAGTCAGTGGGGACAAACTGGCATTTTCAGGATTTGCCCAGTCTGCAGGTGATTTGTGCTGATCCCTGGCAGTGCCTGGGAAGAGCCTGCTTGTCTCTGAAGTGAGCCTAGGTGAGTAGTTCAAGTACAGGCACGTATGATCTGATAGTCTGCCTTCGCTAAGGTGATTTAAGAGACAGTTTAACTGTCCCATAAACATATCCATATCACAGCCTAATTACAGTCTAGTCCTGGTTTAACCCTACCTCACCTGGACCTCGACCTTCTCCACTGTTGCAGGGTTTAAGCTTAATTTTAATTTTGCTGAGAATCCTGAGAAGGGGAAGGTGAGGAGGCTTTTTCTCCCCATACTTTTCCTGGACCTACTCACCCTTCTGCCTAAACACAAGTCTCTTGATTTTTGCTTCACCATTGAGAGGGACTTGCAGGGTCAAGATCTTCAGATGCTGGAGGACCTGTCTTGCAGGTGTACCACAAACACAGTGCTGACTGTGGAAGATCCTGTCTGTGTTTGACA